ATCCATGAGGCCAGTTAATCTTCTCTTGGATTTCTGCATCCAAAAATGATGAGTTACATAATATGTGGATAGATTTTTTTTTAAACACACCCACAGGTAACATGCCAGGTCTTGTGTGTAGGGTCCAGAATGCATGCTGCATATGGCACCTGTTCTGGCTGGCCTGGGACCTGAACTGCACATGGCACTTGTCCTGGTCAGTCTGGGGTGCACGCCACATATAACACCTGCCCCAGCTAGTCTGGGATGTATGTTGCACATGGCACTGGCTCTGTGACCTGTGCTGTATGTGGTGCCTCACACCAGTTGCTCTGGGGCAGGTGCCACTTGCAGGGTGGATCCAAGACTTGTCAGTGTGGATGCTGTGTGGAGCAAGTTCCATGTGCACTTTATGTATAGTATGGAGGGGGAAGGGACAGGTTTATGGGTCCAGTCTGGCCCATGGGGCCAGCTAAATGTCATACATCTGGCCAGTGGACAGGCCCTGTACCACTTGCTTATCTGGCTTGAAGGGCAAAGTGTTTGACACCTCTCACCTAGACAGTCATGTATAAAGGATTTATTCATCCACTAAATTTCTGCAGATTTGCTGACAACTAAGCCAAAACTAGGATTGTATTACTGTAATGATCATTTCTTAATATGGTATCCTAGACCTTTTGGAAGGAGTGCAGCACCATTATTTTTGATCTGGTAGAAGACCAGTCTCTAGGAGTTATGTAGCATTTCTCATACTTATGTCTTTAGCCTATCAGAAATATGAAACTACCAGAAAACTTCCAGCCTGATGAAAACTTTGCAGAAAAATTATGTCAGTGACAGTGTTGACTTGGTGAGGATCTGTTTGGTCAGTCAGCCAGTCATGGTCTGCCTGAGCTTAGAAGGACTATCAGGCTGTGGTGATTAACGCATACCAGCTCCTATAACTGAGGATGCACAAATGAGTGGTAACATTTTTGCCCTCCCTACCTCTAGCTCCCCAGTCAGAATGACTAGATGTTCATTTACAGTTGGTTTATGTGGGGGCAGTCTTTGGCCTGAGTTTGAAGTAATTGCATTTGAACTCTCACTTCTGGAGCCATAATGAGATGTCTCACCCACTCTGCCACCAATCCCCTGTAGCCACCAATCCCCTGTAATTGTAACTTTGTATGTTTTAACTATTTTCTTGTATATACAAAGGGTTTGTCCTGTTTTCATTCTGCAGGTTGTTCTGTTTCCTATCTTGTTTGTGCTGTGGCTGAGGCCAGATTCAATTCTCATTGTTCAGCACAAATAGTTAAAAGCTGTTTATTAAGGAATCCAGGATGAGGTTTGGAGAATTCTCCTGCTGATCAGGGAGCTGGAACTCTTAGTAAGCCTCAGGGCTGAACTATTTTGTCAGACTATGAGAGCAGGTGGATTTGCATATCTGTGGATCCTGTGCCCCAAATTGCCAGACTTTATCATCTTAGAAAGAGAGTTACCTGTGTTAGTCTGAAGTTAAGACAGAAGGCAGGGTAGGCTGGCACCTTATAGACCATCTCATTCAGAGAGGCATGAGCTTTTGTATTCTGCAGTCTAGTAAGAGGTAGTAAGCAAGCGGGCCGCATAGGCCTTTTTGGTCAGTTAATCTTTAAAATGATGTACTGTTCTGCCTTCATTGTTATCTTAGGTGCTGAGCAGACATTCATTTTTACTGGTGGAAATTCTATGAGAAATATCCACCAGTAGAAATCTTCCCAGGAGAGGGAGGATACAGGTGTTCAGCCTGCAACTAACCCCTCTCTCCTGGTTTCCCTTGTTGAACAGGGAAATATCCTTAATAATGCAAATGGGGTTGTTAATCCCAGTTAAGGATCCGTCTGAAAGGGGTGGAACCCCAGCCTTCACTAACTGTAATCCTGCAGCCCAGCTCTAGTTAGCAAAATATAATTAACTAGCAATAAACAACAGACACATATAAAGGGGTAACAGTAACTATATTATCTAAAGAGCAACAATGTAAACAACAACCAGACAACAAACCCCATTATCAATAACATATGAATAGCAATATCCAATATCAAATATAATATAAGCCAAAGCAATGCAATGCTATCCCAGAGAGGGCACTAGAGAACATGTATAGCTTCTCATATGTTTGCTGCCAGTGATGGCTATAGCAGCACTTCTCTCACAAACTCACTTGGAGTCACAGCATGAATAACTAGGCACTCTTCAGGTGATCACCAGGCACACTGCAAGCACTGAATCAACACTACAGAGGTATCGGTCCCTTGGACCCTCACCCTGCATGCATACCCACATGGGCGACTGGTGCCCCCTGAGTTTGGTGGGGCCACCAGCAGGGCATGACCAGGGGTGGGGAGCCCCAGCAGCCAGTTGCCGAGCACACAGGCAGCATGGCAGTGGCAGCGGAAGTGCCAGCACTTCCACTTATGGCATGGTGGCGGCAGAAGTGCTGGCACTTCTGTCACTGACGTGCTGCTGGCAGAATCGGTTTTAGGGAGGACACAAGCACTCCTACCAGCCAGAGCACTTGCTGTCAGGGGGTGCCCCCCTGTGCCCCACTACATGTTGCCTATGCATACCCACAAGTGAGAAGAGTTTGGCCTCCCAGACCCTTATGCTCCTGTGGGGTTACAATCTCTTCTGCCACTCTGCCACTCTCTCACCAACCATAAGAGGTGCAGTCACATGCTGGACCATGCTGGCCTTTGGCCCCCCAGGCCCCTCAGCCACAGCATTCCAGACATGCGCTCACCAGCACCCACATGTAAGGAACCCATTCATTCTGCAACAGACCAAGATCCCTCGCTCTGGTCTCTTTTGTAACTTTCAATCACACCACCTCTGTCAGTCATACTATGGACCATTCATCCTCATAGATTCATTCATCCAAATACCAATCACATCGTTGCTTACCTCCAAGAAGGTGACAGTTACCAACTTGGCATTTAGCATCAAAACGTTAAATAACATGGAAAGTACTGGGCATGCTCAGACTTTACAACTAGGTCATTACTTCACCCATAGGTGAGAAGTTCATCTTCTCTACAAACTTCTGGTCCTTGAACTCACAGAACATGTGTGGCACTATGTTGACTACTTAACTTCTACTTAAAACTACCAACCGGCCACAGGATGCACCACCTTGTGGCCTACAACCTGCCTTCCCCAGACTGGGCTGATCCCAGTCTGGGAAAGGCATGGAAGGCAGCAGCTGCTTCTTCTCCCAGTCCCAAGAAGCAGGCAGGGAGAGTGACTTCCCATACCTTCCCCAGACTGTGGTCTGGGGAACAGGTGGGGAGCAGCCTGCTCTGCTGCTTTCAGTGTTTGGGAGCAGCGCAAAGGGAGCACTGGAGCAAAGCCCTCAGCTCCTTCCCCAAGCCAGGTGGTACCTGGTGTTGGGAAGAGGCAAGGAGCATTGGTGACTGCTTTGGGAAGGCAAGAAGCAGGCAATGCCATCCCCGCTCATTCACCAGACTGAGGACTATGACAGTGGTGGCAGTTTAAAAGCCAGGGGGACTTGGAACATGCTTGAGGATACTCTCTCCAAGCTGGGGCTGCAGCCAGTGCATGCTGCACGTAGTACTTGGGATCAGGTCCAGTGTGTTGGGTTCATTGAAGACCCACAGGTGACACTGTGTGCTGGGTGATAGGGCTTTGCAGGCTGAATCCAGCCCACAGCCATATCTTTGACATCCTTGCTTTATACCGTAGGATTGCCAGTAGGCCATTAATTTTGCCATATCAGAATGAGCATTTCTACATGTTATTGTGAGATCAGTTAGATGTTTTATACTGGTGCTCCAGCACAGTGTGTAGTTATAGATACTATGACTAGCTATAGTAAAGCATCAAAAATAATTATATTGTCTTATTGGGCTTATATGTATATATATGAAATTAACTTTAATGTACAGATTCTAAACTCAAAAATGGTATTAGTGTTAAGTGGCAGCTGTAGGAATATTGGTGTCCAATAAGTTAGTTGTCTTTTAGTTGTGTGGGAAACTATTAAGACACACTGAAGAACATAAGATCATGGGAGGACAACCCTGTGCACTGTTTTGCCTACTTCTTTTCTAGTTAATCTTAACATTTTTTAATCACTTTACAATTTTTTGGAGTTTAATTTCGTTGTTCTATTTCTAATTTTTGAATGCAGAAGATATGACAGCTCCTTCAAACACGTGCACATACAGTTTCAGTTACAGAAAAATTGAAATAATAATGTCCATCACATGCACTTATAGTGGAATTGTCCTTGGCCCTGCATAAAGTCTGTTAGTAGAAGATGTTAAAAGACTGTTATGAGATGTACTTTGTCATTGAAACTCAAATCTGTTGGCTAGCATAGGGAAATAGGGAGAAATTATGTGTCATGTTTTATGCCCATTAAAATAATTCTTATAATGCCCTATTTTCATGTGAATATGGAAAACGTAAGAGTTGCCATGTTTGAAAGATGCATGCAAAATTTATATTTTACATGTTGCTGTATTTTTTGCCATTTTTTTTAATCTAGTCTTCAAAGTCTTTAAGTTTGTCAAATGACCGACTTTACTTCCATTTTTGATGTTTCATAAGCTTTAGTTTAAATAATGCAGAACGAAATCCTGAACTATATTACATTTTAACAAACATATGTTTGTAAGTCACTTGTGGCTGTTTCAGTCACGAGTTAACTGGGCTCCCCTCACTCAAGAGACATTTCTAATTTTCAAGCTGAAATACTTTGACTTTCAGCTGCTTTTCTTTGGCCTGGCTTTGATTTATACAAATGCTAATGATACAGTTCTGAATCTGGGGGTGTACAGGTTTCACATGGTCATACACATTTTTAAAGTACTGGCTCCAGTGCCGTTCTATTTGTGATGTTGGTACATAAATACAATATTTTCCAAATTAAATTCCAGTAAGTAATTTTCATGATTTTTTTTCTTTTGTGGATGTATAGCTAAAGTCATCTTAAGAATTCTTTACCTAAACTTAAATCTTCATTGTTTCCACAGGAATTGGATGGTATCACCTTCATTGGACCTGACACGCATGCTATTCAAGCTATGGGAGACAAGATTGAAAGCAAATTGTTAGCCAAGAATGCAAAGGTCAACACAATCCCTGGTTTTGATGGGGTAGTCAAGGTGAGAAACTGTTTGTTTACTCTACAATGCTTAAATAAAAGTAATGTAATTACAAATTCAGTGTTAGTGAAAAATGTGATAGAAAAGTGTCATGCGCTGGCTTTTATTGGTTAGAAAGCTGTTGATGGGGGTGAAAAAGCCATTAGAATAATGGAGTAAATTATCAGATATTAAGCAGTATACTAAGGGCTGTAAATAAAAAGGGTAGCATCTCAAAGCACTCTTACCTTTTTTTATAAGAAAGATAACATATTGTACATTATATGTTGCCATGTAAGGCGGGTGAATGAGGTTAATACATCAGGTATGGGTTTATGTGCGCATGCATATATATGTCTACATGCATGAATTTTTCCTTATTTTTTTTCACTTTCAATAACTATACTAACATTATTGTGAAAAAGTATTGCTAAAGATTATACATCAAGTATGTATGTCTAGCAATTGTTTCATAGTGATGATGAAGTTTGATAAAACATATCTATATTGCATACTTTCCATACTGATTCTGTTATAGACTTGTACGTATTGTAAGACAGATTCTGTAAAAAGATGCATGTGTGGGGGGCGGGGGATTCTTGTATTGTAGAGTGTGTTTCTTCCTTTTAGGAGGAGTTCTTTGGGTTACAGTAGTTTGCTGAAACATTTTTGTTATGTTTCTTTGCACCTCATACAGTCTAAATACAGAGTCTTGCTTTTAGTTTTTCTTCGAAGGTTTGATTGCACTGTTGGTTATCCTTCCTTGATTTTTTTCTAATCTGTCTTTATCCCCCTTCCTCCCCCAGCTCCTGCTATTCTGTATGTGTCTGTTTATAGGCTGGAATTTATAGGGGGTTTTTTTGGTTGGGGTTTTTAAAATTTTTTTTTTAAATAAGCTGTTCCATTTGGGATGAAATTTCTAATGCTTAGTCTTTAACCTCAAGTTATTTTTTTTTTTGGAAAAATTAATGAGAAGTCATTTCAAATAATTTTTGAGTTATGAAATAAAAGGGGAAAACATTTTCCGTTGAAAAAGAATTCGAAGAATTTTTAACTTAGCTTCAGAAAAAAACTGCTGATGTTTGAATCTTGGTTCTTGGCATTGATCAAAGCTGACTTGTATGATGAAACGTGTTTTTGAAGATGATTTTGAATTATTTTCTTGATGGAATTTTGACCATGCCTTAATGATCAGTATATATCAGGGGAAATAATATTTTGTATTGTGTCATCTAACCAAGATTAAATCCTTCTAACGTTTCTTGCAGCAAGAAACCTCAGCGTAATTTAATCTTGGTAAGGAATGAATAAGAGTGAAAAATTAATAGAAGAGAGGGAAGAAAAGAAACAAAGTGGAGAAATGACAAAGAAGGGGAGTCAGCCTTTTTATTTTAACCTATTCTGTCTTTTCGTAGAGCAGGAGAGGCTAGTATGACTTTGAAGGTACTTGTGCTACCACAGGTGCCATGAGGCATGTCTCTACAAATCCATTCATTCCTATGGCCATGCCTCTTGTGGTTTGGCCCGGGAAGGATGTAGATAATGACAGCATGTTTGGATGCTCAGTCACCACATTTCTACCTCCACTAGGCAAAAACTGTTGATGCTGCTAATGATGCAAGTGCCTGGTGTTTGTGGTGTCTGAAGGACTTTTGTGTTAAGAGATACATATTTGTCAAAGCATTTTACAATTAAGAGTATGCTGCTTTTGATCAAAGCTTTACAAATCCTCTTTCTATACTGTTCTGGTGTAGTGCTGGGATTAATGGGAACCCTGATGTCTTGCAGCAGTAACAATTGGACTGCATCTCAGACCTCTTCTAAGCTAATTGTGCCACTGAACCATGTGTAGAAGCTTCTCTAAAAACACTTAGTAACAGTTAAGTTGCGCCTTAGCTGATCTCTCTTATTCCGGATGCCCTGTCTCTCATTCTGCAGTTCTAGGAATTGGGGCCTGCAGATGGTGTATGTTCTGCTTAATCAATATCAAATGAGTAGGCCATGTTGAATTAAACAGCCATCAAAGTTTTTATTTTTCACACAAAATCACCTAATGTTACAGGAATATTTTACATTCAAATTTTGCATAAACCTTTAATAGTAATAACCATTTCATGGTTTGTTTGTTTATGGTTAGTCTAGTTCAAAAATATCCACAAAACTGGATAAATGTTTAATAAATATTTAATACTACCACCAGTAAAACTAATAGAGAAGATTACCTAACTACAGGTACTTAAGTGGGTTGCCATGCTTCTTGAGTTATCTCATAAGGGTCAAGGTGCCCAAAATAGAAATGAGAACTATTAGCAATGTGGATGGTAGCCACTTGCACTTGACCTTTACATCAAAATGTGAATAGCCCTACATCCCAGCCTTCAGCATCTAGATGATCAGCTCTTAACTTGGATGAAATCCTGTCCTCCTCCAAAACTCCCCCCCGCAAATTAAATAGGATTAGAAAACTGCAAAAATCAGTATAACGTTTAAAAACAAAAACAAAGGGCACTAATGGGGTTACTATTTTGAATTGTTGGGAAGAAAGAGGAAGATTATTTAACTTTAAATGTTGTGAACCTTGTAAAAGGTTGTAGTTTATAAGACTGTTTAATAAAATAGTTATTTTTTCCTTAACACTTTATTAAAATAATTTCCCAGAGTTATATTTTTTCTAATCTCTGCTTATTTTAGGAAAGTAAGAGCATAGTTAATTTGATTTTATAGGAAATAGTAGGAATAGTCAATGGAGCCTTGGAAAAAAAGAGAGATTAAGTTATTTCAGAATACTCTAACCCCCTCATGTTTTCTTTGTCTGTATTCCAGATATGAACTTATGTGTTTTCGCAGCACAGTGTACATGATTCTGAGTTTCTTTTCCTCATAGGAAGTGTATAGTATGTCTGTCATAGCTACAGACATTAAAGTCTAAAAATAACTGCCTTAAATTTTTATTGGAATTCAGACACTTGCCACATATTTATGCACTCTGTAAATTAAAAGCTCAATATTAAAGTTACTGTTTCAGCGAAAGAGATCAAAAGCCGGTTGCCAGAGAGCTGAGTATGCCAGTTGTTTATACATTTTTCCAAACTGTTCCTCTTTCCTTTTCTTCTTAGCGTGGTTTTAATTCCAGTAAACAGTATCTGCTATTTCCAAAGCAGACTTTGTGAGCTAGAGCATTTGAATATGCATTGAATTTTTCTTGTTGCAGAATTGTTTGAATATGTTAAAATTGCCGAAGTGAGTGGTGTTCAAATAGTATAAATAAGCAATATCTTTGTAGGACACTTTGTTTTGAATAATCTGTTTTTCTTGCTATTTTTTAGGGTAGAAAGGTATGAGTACTCCTCGTATCATGCTGTTTATTCTTTAAAGTTGTTGTTTGTGTGTATAAAACAATTATGACTAAAAAGTTCTTCTAACTGATCTGTAGCTTTTGTTCCAATGAACTTGCAATGTATCAGCTAGCTACTTGTTTGCAGGTAACTAAGTGAAAAAAATTACCCTATTTGCTCCCTGCCCCCCTTCTGTTAATTCTGTTTTGCAAATATATGACGGAATTTGCAAGAGAAAAGAAATGTAAAAGTTTCCTTCTTGACTATAATCGTAGCTCTTCATCAGTCATCACTCTTCCTGCATTTTGTTCAAGAGGCTCTAATTGTCTGCATTTGGCAGGTTTAACACTTCCTGACAGAGAGGCTATTAAGGGGAAGTATTCTCGCATAACTGTCACAGGCAGGAACAAAGAACCTTCAAACTCAATGTGTGGAAACCACTAACATTCTTAAATGACCCTTTTCATGCATTTTTATCCCTTTAAGCTAAAATTTGGAGGGTGCAGGGTCATGGAAAGCAGCAAGGTGTAATAAAACAGTAAACCTTGATTATTTTTTTTCCTTTTTTTTTGGTAGATTTATCTCTGACTTAAAAACAATTGTTATTTGGAAAATCTCATTAACAGATGTGACTGCTTGGAATAAAAAGACTTAAAACTGATGTTGCTTTCAGGACTGCTTTGAACTTAACAAGCACCGATTTGTGGAGCAGACTAGCTAATGAAAGGAAATTAAATTTTCTGACAACTTCCCCTGCCAGCCTCCTTATTCTTCATGGGGCTGTTACTAGGTACTGAAGACTTTTAAAGAGGATTTTGTTTTATTATTGGACATAAATGAACCAGGTACGAACATTTCTTATGTATTTTTTTTAAAAGTTCTGACCTGGGTGCTTTTAAAATGAATTGCCTTGAAAGCTTTAAAAATATCAGGTTTCATTTTAATGTTCATAAGTCAGCCCCCATAGCTTCAGACACACTTAGCAGCTGGTGGTGGTTTCCAGACATTACTGCCTTCTATACAAATCTTTTAATGTATGTTACAGAATAATATAAATATTAGCAAATTTGGATGGAATTCTCAGACTTAACCCATGCCACTATTATTTAACCTTTTTTCTTTTTACAGTTGCATAATAGAAATATATTGTTCTGGGTGAAAGGAAGTAGAATTAACTACTGCATGAGAGTGAGTTTTGGTTGTTTGGTAAAAAGTGAACCAGAGTTGAAAGACCTTTGGTTTTTCTCTTCTGAACTTCCTAGATCATTTTTTTTCGCTCATTACATTTGCTGCTCAGTGATTCTAATGATATGAGTCAGCTGACACAATAGGTGGTGACCACAGAGGAATTTTGCTAATTAATAGCTATACACTGACATCTAAACATTAGATGTAGTTAAAGAAAACTGTTGTCTGAATCTGCCCATTTCAGACAACAGTTAAAATATTTAAATAGATACATTAAAGTTCCTGTCTATCTTATAACCTGAAACTTCAACACTGGAAATGTGTGTTTTGCTTGAGTAAAGACTGGCAGATTTAGTCCTTGAAGAAATTTTGTAAGACTTTTTCTGAATCTGAATCTTACCCAAACAATAGAGAATCAACTCCCCCTGCTGACAGTATTTAGGAAAACAAGACACACACGTACCTAAGAAGACAGAACAAGCTGATAGTGGACAAGCTTTAATGATCTGATTTATGATCCAGGATCTGTTGTAAACTTCAAAATTTTAGCATTAAATTCCTGCAACTGCAGAAAATCATTTTGTGATCTTGATAGTGCTTCCTGTCAGCTGATTCCTTCTTGCTTTGAGTTTCTTGGTATAATAATGATGAGGTAGAATTTACATTCCACTTATGGTATTAATTTTACATTCCTGTGACTGAAAAGGGTCAGAAGGTTGTAAAATCAAACATTAAATGAATCAGAGGAGACAGTAGTGCAATATATGACTGCCCTAAGGACATAGTGCAATGGCTGATGGGATTAACGTTAGGTCTCATTTCCTGCTTTTACAGGATGCAGATGAAGCTGTCAGAATTGCAAGGGAAATTGGTAAGTTCTTAAATTAGCTATGGTGGGATTTGTGTGCCTCTCAGCAGACATGGTTGACTAAATTGAATGTGTAATAAGTAATCCCTATAGAACAAATAATGTTTTAATAGTTTTTAAGTTTCCCATTGCCTATAGGGTTGGAAGAATCTAAGCATTAGTGCCCTGTATCTTAAATCATCACAACTTTGGCATTGCAAACTGGGCTTTAGAGAGTGAATACAGCCCTAAATTGCAGACAGGATACAAGATGCTGTAATCACTGGTGAGTTAAAGAAGGAATTATTTCAAAGTATTCATGAAATTGGATATGGTGTTCTTTTTGCAGAGGTGTTAGGCACGGTACATTTCTTTTTATATGGAAGCTGACAGAATGATGCTTATGCTCTTCATTCTTCTTCATTATTTGGACCACACTTGACATGAATATAATCTAACCACCATTTTTTCTGCTGTTCTACGCTTCTTAAAATGAAATAACCATTCTGCTTCTAAACACTTAATGAAATGGGGGGGAAAAAAGAAAACAAAAAATCTAGCCAGGACTCCTTGTTGCTAAGATCTAATGTGGTCTGTGGTTAATACTCTTGGTTCTAACTGGGAAAACTTTGTATTCGGGAAGATTCTTAAGTGAATGATTAATGTTGAGCATGTGCATAAGTGTTTTTCTGAATCAGAAACTTGTAAGAGGGCAGTAACCTGCAGAGGCTTTCCAGTCACTGTGGGTGCCTGTAGATGTGTGGGGAGACTGCTCTGACGCTCTGTAATTACAGCGTTTCAGAGCAGACTCAGTCAAGTCTGCTGGAGTGTGTTGGTTAGCGTGCCTCCAGCAGTCTCCTTGTCTTGTGTATCGGTGTCCCCGTACTTGAAAATGGGGGCGGAGGCACTTTAACTAAAGCTTGTTTAGTTAAAGTGCCCCACCACCACTTTGAAGCATGGGGATACTGATACACGGGATGCTGCTCGTGCTTTAATTAGAGAGGCTATTGGAGCTGCACTAATTAAAGTGTCCCCCTGACCCTCGGAGCACATGTAAAAATGTCCTGTGGTTATAGAAACTTAAAGACTAGTTAGCACTTAAAGGTTTCCCCCCGCCAGCATGATTACTACTCTGGAAGTCCTGTTATACTATAAAATATTTCTTGTGATGTTTCACCGTACATAAATTTTGAAACTGAGTTAATTTACAATACTGCAACTCACTTCTTATATCAGTGCAGTCACACTGAATGATTGTACCAGTG